AGCAGACAGGGTGTTTAATATTATTATTATGACGTTATTATGACTGTAGCCTTAGCCATAATATGTTCTTATGTTTAAGTCACGACATGTACTAGAGGACGTGAGAATGTTTTTAGCTACACATCACTTAATCAACAGACACACACACATGCACATTGATTTGCTTCATGTTTTGACTACTGCTATGACCAGCTGCAAAGCTGGTAACAGAGACGTCCCGGTTGACGTTTCTGTGTAGTATGGGGCTAGCCCAACTGAGGGGATATAATGTATCGGCCTGGTGGGCTCAGGGTCTTTCATCTTACATCTGCCTGCGAGCAGTTTGGAGGTGCAAGATACCTGAGTGTGTAATGTTAATTTTACCTGTGATCCTGTGAATAAATCAGCACTGTTTTGAAGTTACTTGGACTGCCTCGTCTCTCAGAGTTAGCAATGGTAACAAGAACCATATCCTACACTGGCTATGGTCACCTACTATATAGCATGCTTAATGTTAATGATAAGGAGAGCCCATGACAATTTGATTTGTCAATATTCTTTTTTGTGTTTAGTTAGTTCAACATGTGAGGAAGTGGGTTTTGGTACAAGAAGAAAGAGGAAGGAGAAACACAGGCTTTATCTGATTTGTATACTTTTCTGCCTAGAAGATGACCTGAATACAACTAAAAACAGGAAGATGCGGCACTCTGAGGGTCAAAACACTGTATGACAGGAACGAGGTGCACTTATATGTGTGTGTGTGTGCTCTTTAATGCCAGCTGGCTTGTCATATCACACTGGCCTTGGTCCCAGCAGACATTGACCCCAGACTATAAGAAACAAGAAAGACTCCACCTAAGGAGATGGCAACAGAAATCCCCTCCTGTCCAGTGGAAAACATCTTTCATGAATTTCCTAAATTACATTAAGTACAGATAAGATCATGCCACTGAACTCTTATCCTGGAGTGGCTTTGGTATTTTGTTTAGGGGGCAATGCAGCTAAACACTAGCAAATAAGTGTAAATACTTTGATGTTTTAGGAAAAACTCAGCATCATAAACATTCTTTGGAAGAGTCACCTTCACCATAAGCAGAGACAAAGAAGAGGGAGCGCTGTGCAGCAAGTTAGCAGCAGTGATTTTTCAGGTTCGTTGCCCACTGAAGGGCTAAGTAGGAAGCAGTGACGCATTTCACTACAGAAGGTGTGTGAGAAAGGCAAAAACAAACACATGCTCAGCTGGAGGGCTCCGTGTGTGTGTGTGTGTGAGTGTGTGTCACAATCTATTTCTGGGAGCTTGGACCTGCCTCTTTGCCATGTAGCCTGTACACAAAGCACTAGCTGAAGAGTAATCACAGTGAGGTCAGCTGTAGCGCTGACAAAAATAGCAAGGCTAGAAAAAAACAAAAGGACAATAAGACCCCCAAGAACAGACTTCCCTAAAGCCTCTCAGGTCCAGGCAGGGATATATCAAGCTCTTTTAAAGAAGAGGGAGACACGTGGTCCTCAGAACAACTCTGACCGCACCTATTTAGCATGCTAACAGTTATCATTTAGCACTGACCTGATGCTAGCACTTGATGAAAAGTCAGTGGATCACCAATGTTTTTATAATCCATCCAATCAATGTTAAGATATTTCAGTCTGGCCCAAAATGGTGGACCGACTAACACGTGTACTGCTGTTCATAGAGCAGCTAAAAATTATGTTTCCTCTGGTTTTACTACCATTTTAGCTTGACAGAAAACATCAGTGATTCAAGAGAAAATGTCAAGTGCACAGAGATTGCAAAGTGATCAAGTCATCTTTGCAATTCTGCTGAAGTGGGAAATTATGGAGCAGTGGACATTGAAAGGACAGGATAGAAAGTAAAAAAAAGGCAGCAGTGAAGAGCCCTTCTGTGACATGTCCATAGTCTGACCACCTTTCATCGCTGCCACTT